ACTGTCCACACACTGTTGGTTGATGAATCGTCTGTATACCATCAGACCGGACATTACTACTGTCCACACACTGTTGGTTGATGAATCGTCTGTATACCATCAGACCGGAGATTACTACTGTCCACACACTGTCCACACACTGTCCACACACTGTTGGTTGATGAATCGTCTGTATACCATCAGACCGGATATTACTACTGTCCACACACTGTTGGTTGATGAATCGTCTGTATACCATCAGACCGAATATTACTACTGTCCACACACTGTTGGTTGATGAATCGTCTGTGTACTATCAGACCGGATATTACTACTGTCCACACACTGTTGGTTGATGAATCGTCTGTGTACTATCAGACCGGACATTACTACTGTCCACACACTGTTGGTTGATGACATTTATCGTCTGTGTACTATCAGACCGGACATTACTACTGTCCACACACTGTTGGTTGATGACATTTATCGTCTGTGTACCATCAGACCGGATATTACTACTGTCCACACACTGTTGGTTGATGACATTTATCGTCTGTGTACTATCAGACCGGACATTACTACTGTCCACACACTGTTGGTTGATGACATTTATCGTCTGTGTACTATCAGACCGGACATTACTACTGTCCACACACTGTTGGTTGATGACATTTATCGTCTGTGTACTATCAGACCGGACATTACTACTGTCCACACACTGTTGGTTGATGACATTTATCGTCTGTGTACCATCAGACCGGATATTACTACTGTCCACACACTGTTGGTTGATGAATCGTCTGTGTACCATCAGACCGGACATTACTACTGTCCACACACTGTTGGTTGATGACATTTATCGTCTGTGTACTATCAGACCGGACATTACTACTGTCCACACACTGTTGGTTGATGACATTTATCGTCTGTGTACCATCAGACCGGACATTACTACTGTCCACACACTGTTGGCTGATGAATCGTCTGTGTACTATCAGACCGGACATTACTACTGTCCACACACTGTTGGTTGATGACATTTATCGTCTGTGTACCATCAGACCGGACATTACTACTGTCCACACACTGTTGGTTGATGACATTTATCGTCTGTATACCATCAGACCGGATATTACTACTGTCCACACACTGTTGGTTGATGAATCGTCTGTGTACCATCAGACCGGATATTACTACTGTCCAAACACTGTTGGTTGATGAATCGTCTGTATACCATCAGACCGGACATTACTACTGTCCACACACTGTTGGTTGATGAATCGTCTGTATACCATCAGACCGGACATTACTACTGTCCACACACTGTTGGTTGATGACATTTATCGTCTGTATACCATCAGACCGGACATTACTACTGTCCACACACTGTTGGTTGATGAATCGTCTGTATACCATCAGACCGGATATTACTACTGTCCACACACTGTTGGTTGATGAATCGTCTGTATACCATCAGACCGGATATTACTACTGTCCACACACTGTTGGTTGATGAATCGTCTGTGTACTATCAGACCGGACATTACTACTGTCCACACACTGTTGGTTGATGAATCGTCTGTATACCATCAGACCGGACATTACTACTGTCCACACACTGTTGGTTGATGACATTTATCGTCTGTGTACTATCAGACCGGACATTACTACTGTCCACACACTGTTGGTTGATGAATCGTCTGTATACCATCAGACCGGATATTACTACTGTCCACACACTGTTGGTTGATGACATTTATCGTCTGTGTACTATCAGACCGGACATTACTACTGTCCACACACTGTTGGTTGATGAATCGTCTGTGTACTATCAGACCGGACATTACTACTGTCCACACACTGTTGGTTGATGAATCGTCTGTGTACTATCAGACCGGATATTACTACTGTCCACACACTGTTGGTTGATGAATCGCCTGTATACCATCAGACCGAATATTACTACTGTCCACACACTGTTGGTTGATGAATCGTCTGTGTACTATCAGACCGGATATTACTACTGTCCACACACTGTTGGTTGATGAATCGTCTGGGTACTATCAGACCGGACATTACTACTGTTCACACACTGTTGGTTGATGACATTTATCGTCTGTGTACTATCAGACCGGACATTACTACTGTCCACACACTGTTGGTTGATGAATCGTCTGTATACCATCAGACCGGATATTACTACTGTCCACACACTGTTGGTTGATGAATCGTCTGTGTACTATCAGACACGGACATTACTACTGTCCACACACTGTTGATTGATGAATCGTCCACACACTGTTGGTTGATGAATCGTATCAGACCGGACATTACTACTGTCCACACACTGTTGGTTGATGAATCGTCTGTGTACTATCAGACCGGACATTACTACTGTCCACACACTGTTGGTTGATGACATTTATCGTCTGTATACCATCAGACCGGACATTACTACTGTCCACACACTGTTGGTTGATGAATCGTCTGTGTACTATCAGACCGGACATTACTACTGTCCACACACTGTTGGTTGATGAATCGTCTGTGTACCATCAGACCGGACATTACTACTGTCCACACACTGTTGGTTGATGACATTTATCGTCTGTATACCATCAGACCGGACATTACTACTGTCCACACACTGTTGGTTGATGAATCGTCTGTGTACTATCAGACCGGACATTACTACTGTCCACACACTGTTGGTTGATGAATCGTCTGTATATTATCAGACCGGACATTACTACTGTCCTCACACTTTCGATCCAAGACACTGGGCAAGTGATTTTTTTTCCGTTCTTAATCTGCATTAAAAGCCAACCTGTTTTTACTCATTGGTCAAGGTAGTAAAAGTTTACAACTACATGTGCTTTTTATCGGTCCATCAATATTCTCAAATGTAAAGAATACCTCTATCTAGGTGGATCAAACGCTTGGTCATATCATAGATGGATTTAAGAATTCAAGCATATTAGCGACCCAGGTGTATATGCGAAATTTACCGATATTTAAACTAGCTTGATAATTGCAGAGATGATTTAGATACGAATTGTAATATAAAGAGACAGTAAGTGAACATATCACTGACATTTTGATATATGGTTCTAAATTATAAATTAAGCAAATCCTGATGCTGTTGAAATTAAAACGAGATCGTTCGTGCTTACTGCTACTGTTTTGATTGGTGTTACATCAAAATAAGCCACTGTTGGCTTTCCAGATAATATAAAAATGTTTTAGTTACATGAAGATACGTTTACTTAAAGAGCCAGACCACCTCCCCGACCGATATTATTTTGTATAAAAAAAAATCATGATTTTCTATTTTTCTCGGGTAGCAAAAGTTCTGACTAACCCTGTGATACCGCAATTTTAAAGTAAATCGCTACCAATCTAACGTAATAAATAGTTTTAAAAAATAATTCGAAACGACTCAGTGCTAATTCATAATTATGCGGGAAGTCCTGTCCTGTGACGCTTGCACAAAGAACTGTAAATAAATCTGCCGTCTTCCAACATGGCAGAAAGCTTGCGAGGGAAGCGGACTCTGATGTGATCAATACATACGTTAGATGATTTCCATACAGGGTATATAGAGTATTGATTGTATTTATCGGTAAAATCTTCCATTTTTGTTTTGGTTCTGACCGCGTCTGAACATATCACGTGACTTTTCTCATCAATATTCATATCCTGGTGTTGATTAATGAAACTAATTCCGGCACCGATATCTCCGGTACCCTTTCAATTTCAAGTTCGAAACTTTATACAAGTGTTTATTTATATATCATTTATTAGTATACAACAACATTTCCAGTCAACAAAATATTTTTAAAAAATACCTATGACGGAGTGGGTCTGGCTCTTGAACAGATGTTTACAACATCGTCTTCTGAAATACACATTTCACAGTAATTTTGTGGGCTTTATACATCAAATATTGAAAATGTATGTAATAAAAAAAACCTGTTACTGGTACACATTTCACTATGAGAAATATAGAAATAACGATTTTCATTGATATTATCACCAATAGTTCAGATCCAATGTATGCTTTGTTGCCGTAAGGATTTCCCACTGGAGATGAGATGGGAGAATAAATTACACGCGTCTGGAAAGTAGACGTTCAGGGTGACTTGCTAACCCTGTGATATACACATACAAAATGTATATCAATTAATGTCATTCATGTTAATTGTCAACTTATCGCACAGAAACAGACAAAACGTAAAATTTATACATGTTTAATGTTTTATTGAACAACACAGATGGGATTAATTATATTGAGGAAACGTTAAATTAAAACTTTTAATTATAGTAAAAAAAAAAAAAAAAATCAGCATTTAGCGATTATTGAAAAATTCCAAAAGTGGGGCTAGTATAGTTTTGATCAGGGCTTGTGAGAAACATTGGTTCACTAGCTCTTCGGATAGTGGAAAATTTTCAGAGTTTAACATCCCTGATAACTCATATGCATATACATGTATGCTGATATAGGAGATAAGTATACAGAAGTGAATATAGGTATAGAAAATTATATATATATATTGATTTCTAATATATCCATCTCACTTTACATATTACATACCATACCCAATAGAGGTCAGAGGTTAAGTGTTAGAACGACAATAAAACAACATACAAATGCAGATGTGTACGCTAGGGATAGTTTTTAAATGGACTGATGTCGTAAAAGTTTTCAAAGGACCGATGTCAAAACTATTTCATACAAAGAAAACAAACAGTTAAATACACATATAGAGCTATCTTTTAATCTTTACTACACGGCAAACTCTTTGTTCAGTGCATACAAGGTGTGGAATGAAACATATATATTATGTACATATATATGTGTGTTTACGAGCATAAAACAGACTAAGTAGTAAACACATCTTCTGTTAGAGTGATGGGTGTACTGTAGTGCAGTAGCATTGAAGATCAATATCACTACACAAGCCATTTGTTCTGTCCTACGGATCTAATATTTTTCAAGAGAATTCCGTCAACCATGACACACATAACAAATCAGCTGGTATTAAGCGGGCGGAAGCCAAGTATGAGCAATGTGTAACATGTAGGTAGTTGATCAACTGAGAAGGTAGATCGTACACATATACTGGCACACGTAAAAATACACGCTGTTGCAGTCAGCTGTCGGATAATATGAGCGAATAGGTCATAACGTTGTGATAACACCATGAAGCTTTACATCAGATGCAGAGCACTATGCGCCGTGTGGTGTGCAATAGAGATTCTTTTCTTCGGAGGAATTATATACGGCTGGGGATCGTTAGTTTTTGTTTTAAAAGAGGAAGGATTTTATTACGAGGAATGTGTAAGTGTCACAGCACCTGGTGAGCTGACCTATAACAACACTAGGTCCATTACGACCCCAGTAAGTATTCAACTAAAAGATACTTTCTTGACACCTGTTGCGGATGGCGACACGTCAGACCCGCGACCGAAATCGGACGATGGTTATGAAAAATCTCCGAGTCAACTGGACAGTAACCAGGACAACGGGGCGGTTTCAGAGCCAGGACAACCATCCCATACATGTCCTCAACAGGAATCTAAGTTAAATCTATGGTTCTCTGTGGCGGTTGCATTCATGTATTTATCGATGGCGTTCCTTGGGGAACTAACCACCCGCCTGGGAACACAGATTACTCGACATATCTTCACGTAAGTAACCAGGTTAAGATAATATATAAATAGTACACACATTATATTTATTTGTAATGTGTGTGTATGTATATTGGCCTACAAGGTGAATAAGAATGACCTTTCAATAGCGTGAACAAAAAATAAAAAAATTCTATAGTAGCCTAGTTAGGTGTACAGAAGATTATACACCACGTATTGACCCAAGTCCACGATCGGGTACAGTAGTATATGTGTACTAGAGGGTGAATGACCAAGATCGGTCGGAACTATTATCAATATTAATGAGTAACACGGGTGAATGACTTCACATTCGAATTAGATGAAACATGCAATTTATGTACATAGTATTTATTAACAACGTCTAAATCACCTTGCAATACAACATCGTATCGTGGTAGAGACTATACAATTATCACGTGATATATAATGTTAAGTACAGATCAGTCACATTATCACGTGAGATATAATGTGGAGTAAGTAGGGGTCAGTCACATTATCACGTGGGATTATAATGTGGAGTAAGTAGGGGTCAGTCACATTATCACGTGGGATTATAATGTGGAGTAAGTAGGGGTCAATCACATTATCACGTGAGATATAATGTGGAGTGATTAGGTGTCAGTCACATTATCACGTGGGATTATAATGGGGAGTAAGTAGGGGTCAGTAACTTTATCACGTGATATATTATGTGGAGTAAATAGGGGTCAGTCACATTATAACGTGAGATATAATGTGGAGTGATTAGGTGTCAGTCATATTATCACGTGGGATTATAATGTGGAGTAAGTAGGGGTTAGTAACATTATCACGTGATATATAATGAGGAGTAAATAGGGGTCAGTCACATTATCACGTGATGTATAATTTGAAGTACGGGTCAGTCACATTATCACGTGAGATATAATGTGGAGTGAATAGGGGTCAGTCACATTATCACGTGGGATATAGTGTGGAGTAAATAGGGGTCAGTCACAATATCACGTGATGTGTAATGTGGAGTAAATAGGGGTCAGTCACATTATCACGTGATATATAATGAGGAGTATATAGGGGCCGGTCGCATTATCACGTGATATATAATGAGGAGTAAATAGGGGTCAGTCACATTATCACGTGATATATAATGAGGAGTATATAGGGGCCAGTCACATTATCACGTGATATATAATGAGGAGTATATAGGGGTCAGTCACATTATCACGTGATATATAATGAGGAGTATATAGGGACCAGTCACATTATCACGTGATAGATGTGAAGTACGGATCAGTCACATTATCATGTGATTGATAATGTAGAATAACTAGTGGTTAATGATATTGTTAGGGAGGGGTTTATGATATGATGTAAATGGATGCCCGTTTTATCGTAAATAGTTGTGGTAATTGTGTACAATGTATGTAATTAGACAGGGTGACTATGCAATCTGTGTACATAGTTGTGGTAATTGTGTACAATGTATGTAATTAGACGGGGTGACTATACAATCGGTGTACATAGTTGTGGTAATTGTGTACAATGTATGTAATTAGACGGGGTGACTATACAATCTGTGTACATAGTTGTGGTAATTGTGTACAATGTATGTAATTAGACAGGGTGACTATACAATCTTTGTACATAGTTGTGGTAATTGTGTACAATGTATGTAATTAGACGGGTTGACTATACAATCTGTGTACATAGTTGTGGTAATTGTGTACAGTGTATGTAATTAGACAGGTCGACTATACAATCGGTGTACATAGTTGTGGTAATTGTGTACAATGCATGTAATTAGACAGGTTGACTATACAATCGGTGTACATAGTTGTGGTAATTGTGTACAATGTATGTAATTAGACAGGTCGACTATACAATCTGTGTACATAGTTGTGGTAATTGTATACAATGTATGTAATTAGACGGGTTGACTATACAATCTGTGTACATAGTTGTGGTAATTGTGTACAATGTATGTAATTAGACAGGTCGACTATACAATCTGTGTACATAGTTGTGGTAATTGTGTACAATGTATGTAATTAGACAGGGTGACTATACAATCGGTGTACATGGTTGTGGTAATTGTGTACAATGTATGTAATTAGACAGGGTGACTATACAATCTATGTACATAGTTGTGGTAATTGTGTACAATGTATGTAATTAGACGGGGGTGACTATACAATCTGTGTACATAGTTGTGGTAATTGTGTACAATGTATGTAATTAGACGGGGGTGGCTATACAATCTGTGTACATAGTTGTGGTAATTGTGTACAGTGTATGTAATTAGACAGGTCGACTATACAATCGGTGTACATAGTTGTGGTAATTGTGTACAATGCATGTAATTAGACGGGGTGACTATACAATCTGTGTACGTAGTTGTGGTAATTGTGTACAATGTATGTAATTAGACGGGGTGACTATACAATCTGTGTACGTAGTTGTGGTAATTGTGTACAATGTATGTAATTAGACGGGGTGACTATACAATCTGTGTACGTAGTTTCGGTAATGTTGTACTAGATTTGCAGTATAGAACCTGATCTTGTGTCATTTTGCAGATTCATGTTCGTATTTGGAGCTTTGTGTGTGGCGTTCGCGACGAAAGGTAGTTATGTTTACATCAAAATGTATATCTGCTCTTGTGTTTTTGCGACGGTTTGTGTTTCTCCACAAAATAAGTTTTATCTTGAAACCTCATTCGTTTGGCAACATTCGATATTCTTACCCATAATATCCGAAATTTTCTTCAATAAGAACCAGGCATTTGAGGGTTACAGGAAAAAGATATTTCTTATATATAAATTGATATGATGTCTATTTAGAGCAATGATCTTTTCGCGGCATGTGTATGTTCTACTACAGAAACAGTTCATATGTCCGCGGTTGACACGTAACGCTAGTGAAGGCATGTTTTGGCAACCATCATCAAGTAGTTAGCGGTTCCAAAACGCCTTGTCCATAATGTGCCGTCCGTCTATCATCGGTCCTTAAACAATCCTTGTATCGCTATTTCTTGAGAAGTACTGGATGGATCTTTCTCGGATGTCATATGAATGCTCCCTGTGGTCCCTAGATGTGCCCTTTTGATTTCGGGAGCGATGAAAAGACTAAATGGCTGTCAATTGTATTTTGACAATGAAAATTTCTTGTTGTCATATTTTGAGAGAAGTGCAAAATGAATCTATCCCAGAGTTAATATTTAGTTTCCCCTCGGTCTCTTATTGCGCCTATTATATTTTGGAACTTGTCAGAAAGCAAAATGGCTGACAGGCGGCCATTTTAGATTTTGATAATGAAAGTTTGTTATCGCTATATCTTGAGAAGTACTGGACTGGCCACTAAAAAAAAACAACAAACAAAAAAACAATATGGTCGATAGGCAGCCATATTGCAATTGAAATTATTATCTCCACTTTCGTATGGAATTTTCAAATTTCATACAGTTAAGAGCAAGCGTACTTCCGTGTCGTTAACCTTGACCTACTTTGTAGTTTATCAGACGTAAACGACACGTGCAACTCTTATGAAGGTGTCGGTAGTCTTCGCTTCTTTTGTAGATTATCAGACGTAATTAATGCGTGATTGTAACGAAGATATCATACTTTCGATATTATCAGAACTAATTGACACCTACTGTTGGTAAAGTTGTCGGTAACCTTGACCTACTTTTTATATCATCAGACATACCCTGGCTGCTGTGTCCGGGTCTGTGTAGCATTGCTGTTTCCGGTTTGGTCATATTTGCCACAAACATACAGGTAACACTTTTGCAAGTACAGGAGTAACGACTTTCGCTTTACGCTAAAGCAACATCGAAACACGCTATTTTATCGCCACACATTTGAATGAAATCGGTGCATGTCCAAAATTCAACGCCATGGTTATTTTATGATATATATTAAATCAAGCCAGAAGATCAGATACATCTGTAACGCCATATTAATGTACGTTTATGCTACTATACAATATAGATGGCAGGGTGCTCAGATAATTTATTTCTAAGTGTTGGTATGGCTTTTATGTTCAGCGTAGAAAAGTTTTCATTTAGAAATAAACATAATCAGATTACAAGTAAACATAGTCAGGTTACAAAGTTTTATTACAAAAATATCAAATTAAACAGAATGTATGCGCGATCTGATAATTTTACGGAACAGACGTGAATTGAGTGTTCTAGTGAATATTTTGAATTGCGTTAACAGTTTTTAATTATTACTGAGCACGTTAAACCTACTTATACATTCTAACGAGACACGGTTTGTTGCGTCATTGGGTAAGCTGTTTTTTCACAAGGCATTAACGTGCCTGACACGTGTAACCACTAGAAATCTCGGGTGCTTTCGTTTATTCGTTTATAATGACACGCACGTGGCACGGTTTCGTTCCGTCTTAAAGACCAGACTCGAACCTCGTTTTCGTTCCAATATGGCGACTGATGACAAACTTTACCACACACTTCACTTTGAAAATTAGCATTTTGAAAGATTTCTAGTTTCTGATAAACTTTCTTTGACATCCACAAAAATAACAGCATCACTTTGCAAAGAGCAACAAAAAGACATTATTATGACGCAGATATTTAGATGTTTTCTACAAATAATAAACATATTCATTGACATTTTTTTTATATAAAATGGATATATTTCAAATTCCATACCTATGTTCCCTTTGGTTTCTCCTTGTGCCCATTTGATCTTGGGGCTGATTAGAAAAACAAAATGGCCGACAGGCAGCCATCTTAGATTTCGCCTAGTAAAGATTGTTACCCCTATTTCTTAAGAAGTTCTGAATGGTTATTTTTCAAATTTCATACCTATGTTCCTTTTGGTCTCTCCTTGTGCCCGTTTGATTTTGGGACAAATGAAAAGAAAAAAGAAAACTTCCAGGCGGCCATTTTGGATTTGACAAGTAAAGGTTATCATCGCTATTTCTGCAAAGGAATGTTCAAATATCTTATCATTAAGAACCAAAAACGAGAAGAGAAGAGAAAAAAGGGAAAAGATCCAACTTTCAAAGAGCAAATTAAGATCAAACAATAACGGGCACCAAGATCCCTCTGGGATCTCTTTTATTATTTGTGTTTTTGTTTTCATAGTCTATGGAAAAAAGAAGCTAATATTGATACGATAATGAATATGGAAATGCTTGCCTTGCTTATTCCAATAAGCCGAAAAGGTATAGTACCGCGATAGATCAAACAAGTTCTTAAAATCAAAATTAGATAATTCAACTTTTTCATGTATGGATTACAATTATATTCAAGAACGAATGTTATATTGTAAATAGTAACATTATATGTTTGGAATAATGAATTATTAAAATTTATAAAATGTATAACGGTTTGCTCTCCTTATACCACTGTTATAATCGTCATCGAATTCTAAAGTTGAATTTACTACAGCAACCATACTCCTGATCAAATCAATTACATAGGTCAATGTAGGGACATATATCTAAGTATGTAAATATAGTTCTCTGGGAACACTTTGTTGATACAATACAGAAAATTCAAAATCATTTCTCATTTTTAAAATTTTGAGTAACGCATTAAATATTTGGTTTGTCAATGTTCTTTTATTTTGTTACCTAATGATCGGATTACGTTTGATTCAGTTCAACCATTATTCGCCGTAAATATTGCTGTGAGAGGGTGTTTTAATTAAGCCAAGCAAATGTGTTAATAAATAATTCAGCTTATAGCTAAAGGTAGGATATTGGTGCAAACCTTAAAAAGTTTGTGGTTAACATACCAAAGATAATGCAAAGTATTTTTTTTCTTTCGCAGCTGTAACAAGAAATTAATAATCAAACTGTAATATCATTGTAGTTTTGTGATACAACTTTGACTTTGGAATATATTGCTGTAAACAGAAAGCTGAAAAAATACAAATATCATGATGCCATGAGACAGTTACAGAGATGTAACAAACAAGTGTCACTGAATTAACACGGAAGTTACTCTTTAAGATAATGCATGAACTGGTCGTTTTTTCCAAGCTCTACATGAATATGACCAAGCATATTATTATGATTAAATCAACTGAATACAACACAGGATCAACAAAAATAAACCCAACTGTTACGATATCTCAGCCATTGTATATGCAAGACGAACGCAGTAGGGATAATTTATTTACACGGATTTAGGTATAAAGTCTGTGCTGGAAGTATGAAGATAAACACTGCTAGATAATTTTCATAACTGAAGTGCGTTTTGTCGTGATTTATAATCGTAATATAGTGTCATTATATAAGTAAATGACATTAGACTCGGCAATCATCGATCATATATCAATATTGGATTTTATCATTTCTTTGTACTGATGTTAGCATTTTGGTGTCGCCTGAACCCCACAGTCAAAACGAGGCAGAATAACCACTGATAAAGATCCCGAACGAAAACGATCCGGGTAGCTCGTTTATTAGTTCGCACGGTTTGTCCGTTACAACTGCGAAAACGAAAGGGTCCCTGTAAGCGCCAGGCACGTAAACCATCATAACCGTCTCATACGTTCGCGTGTTATCGTCTGACAGATTTAACCATCTGACATGTGTAACCGCCAGACACGTGTTACCGTCTGACACATGGTACAGTCTGACACATGTTACCATTTGAAATGTGTCACCATCTGACACGTGTTACCATCGTGTCACACGTATAACAGTCTGACATGTGTTACCGTCTGTTACACATTTTGTTACCATCTGACCGTCTGACATGTGTTACACATGTTACCATCTGACACGTGTTACCATGTCTGACACGTATTACCGTCTGACACCTGTTACAGTCTGACTTTTGTTACCATTTGACACGTGTTTCAATCTGACACGTGGTACAGTCTGACACGTGTTGCCATCTGAGACGTGTCACCATCTGACACGTATTACCATCTGACACGTGTTACCGTCTGACACGTGGTACAGTCTGACACGTGTTGCCATCTGACACGTATAACAGTCTGACATGTGTTACCGTCTGACACATGTTACCGTCTGACATGTGTTACCGTCTGACACGTGTTCCTGTCTGACACGTGTTACCGTCTGACATCTGTTACAGTCTGACTTTTGTTACCATCTGACACGTGTTACAATCTGACACGTGGTACAGTCTGACACATGTTACCATCTGACACGTGTTACCATCTGAAACGTGTCACCATCTGACACGTATTACCGTCTGACACCTGTTACAGTCTGACTTTTGTTACCATTTGACACGTGTTTCAATCTGACACGTGGTACAGTCTGACACGTGTTGCCATCTGAGACGTGTAACCATCTGACACGTATTACCATCTGACACGTGTTACCGTCTGACACGTGATACAGTCTAACACGTGTTACCATCTGAAACGTGGTACAGTCTAACACGTGGTACAGTCTAACACATGTTACCGTCTGACACGTGTTACCGTCTGACACCTGTTACAGTCTGACTTTTGTTACCGTCTGACACGTGGTACAGTCTAACACGTGTTACAGGCGGACACGTGTTACCGTCTGACACCTATTAGAGTCTGACTTTTGCTACCGTCTGACACGTGGTACAGTCTAACACGTGTTACCGTCTGACACGTGGTACAGTCTAACACGTGGTACAGTCTAACACATGTTACCGTCTGACACGTGTTACTGTCTGACATCTGTTACAGTCTGACTTTTGTTACCTTCTAACACGTGGTACAGTCTAACACGTGTTACAGTCTGACATGTGTTACACTATGACACGTGGACACGTGTTACCGTTTGAAACGTGTTACCGTCGGTGACTTTCCTTGGATAATTTATCTATTACTGGTTTACAGATAAGTTAGCCTGTATAGGCAATACTATTACGATAACTTAGACACAGTCTACAACGTCATTACATCGACATATCCTGCAATGTCATCACATCGACACATCCTTCAATGTCATTACATCGACATATCCTACGATGTTATTACATCGAAACATTCTACAATGTCATTACATTGACATATTCTTCAATGTCATAACATTGACATACCCTTCAATGTTATTACATAGACAAATTCTAAAATGTCATTACATCGACATACCCTTCAATGTTATTACATAGACAAATTCTACAATGTCATTACATCGACATACCCTTCAATGTCATTACATCGACACATTCTACAATGTCATTACATCGACACATTCTACAATGTCATAACATCGACCTACCCTTCAATGTCATTACATCGACACATTCTACAATTTCATTACATCGACACATCCTACAACAACATTACATCGACATATCCTTCAATGTCATTACATCGACATATTCTCTAATGTCATTACATCGACACATTCTACAACAACATAACATCGACATATCCTTCAATGTCATTACATCGACATATCATTCAATGTCATTACATCGACATATCCTTTAATGTCATTTCATTGACATATCCTTCAATGTCATTAAATCGACATATCATTCAATGTCATTACATCGACATATCCTTTAATGTCATTTCATTGACATATCCTTCAATGTCATTAAATCGACACATTCTACAATTTCATTACATCGACACATCCTACAACAACATAACATCGACATATCTTTCAATGTCATTACATCGACATATCCTTTCATGTCATTTCATTGACATATCCTTCAATGTCATTACATCGACATATTCTCTAATGTCATTACATCGACACATTCTACAACATCATAACATCGACATATCCTTCAATGTCATTACATCGACACATCCTACAATGTCATTAC